GCGTGCCCGCAGAAAGGGCTCTGCATGCCAGCTGTGGCACACATGCCATTGGTTCGCCATTGCTGTTCTAGGCTATCTGAAAGATTGTTTCTCCTCATCAGTCTTTAAGATCTTAAGAGAAGGTCCTTTTTTCAGTCCCATTGCTATCACATCCTTTGATGGGGACATGAAAGAGGGCTTTCTTTGTAGCTGCTCTGCCTTGGGAACCGGTCCTGTCCCTGTTAACCTTCTGCAGACAGTTGAGGACCCAAGTTTACTGGCAGGCTTTTAACAATCCTAGTTGAGTCCCTGGATGCTGGTTTTTACCTTTAAAAGTTTGCTTTTAAAGTTTTAAATGTTTTTAATTGCTTTATATATTTTTATTATAGTTCAATTGCTTTTTAATGTGTAATTTATTGTACATTGAATTTTATTTTTTATTGCTGTGAGCCATCTTGAATCCCATCAAGAGAAAGGTGGCCTATAAAATGACACAAAATAAAGTATTGCAAATACCTTTTGATGATTAGGGTTACTTCTGAAATTTGTAAACTTTCCACAAAGTTTATATAGAAATTGCTCATTCTTCCTCTGTTTCAGGACTGAGGTTTGCAGATCCTGAACTTGGGATCTAATACCAAGCAAGCTCTGGCTACAATTCGGATAAATACACACTCAAAGGTGTGATATTAGGCCAGCGACCAGTGAATTAAGTGTTAATTTGTAAAACAGCCTGCATTATACTGAACAACCACCGAGGGATCTACGGTCTGCCTGTTGGTCGTAATAAGTTTTAAAGCAGTGCTTTCATTCCTAAAATGTGTGGAGAAAATGGCAGTGGCAAGTCCCCTCTCTGCGTTGGCGAGCTTCTCTCCTTCGTTAGGTTTTGATGCTGCCCTGCCAGGTTCCTCAGAGAACATACAGTACAAACTTTCTTACTCATTTGCTCCTCAAAAGCCGCAACAACCCCGCCAGGTAGAGAAACGGAGACAGTTCCACGTTTATCCAATGACCCTAAAAGCCTAAACCCCTCCTACTCTGACCCGCTTGCTTTCGTGTAAAGCATGCTTGCGTATATATTTTTTGTCCGAGAGCCCAGCCCCCCGTTCCCTTTCTTCCGTAGTTTTTGGCCGTCTTGCCGTCTTATCCTCAAGCCCCCGCTTCAGAGCGGCACCAGCCACCTGCTTTAGGGAGGATGCAGGCCGCTGCTTCTTACACCTCCCTCCTTGCACTAAGGAGGCGGCCTGTTCGGCTGCCTCAGACGCCTCCCCGTGCTCGCCAAAGTGGGCCACAAAGACGCCCTGGGGGGGAAGAAGGGCCCGGCTCTCAGCGGTGGCCAGCCATGTCCGGCGTGCGAAGGCGGGCGGCGGCCCCTTCCCGCGCGGGCTTCAGGCTGGGTGATGGCGAGGCAATCGCCGGCGCGGCGGTCCCTCAGGGGTTGATTCGGGCGGCTCGAAAGAGCGGCCAGTTGAATCTGTCTGGCCGGGAGCTGACCGAAGGTAAGATGGAAGCCAGCTGAGACTGAGCGGGGAGAATGAGGGGTGCCTTCCGACCGTCGCTGTCGTGAGAGGGGAAAGTAAAGTGCCTCAACGCAGCCGTCTGTGGAACGGAAGGCGGGCGGTCCGGGGGAGACTGTAGAACCGCACCCAGGAACCGGGGGCCTTCATTTTCCTCCGCCCGCTCCCTCCCTTGCTCTGAGGGGCGGTTTGAATTGGAAGGGCGCCTGCTGCGCCCTAATGTATGTCCTTCCCCCCTCCTTCGGCCCGTTTTGGACGCCTAGGATTGGAAATACTGTACATTCTAAACACACATATTAGGAGAAAAGGCAAAACAGAAGTGGAACAAGTAAATCAAATAAAAGTATAAATACGCACACTCCAGTGGAGTCAGTGCAGCTTGTTTCTCAGCCTCCATGACTAGGATTGCAGCACATCTTAGAAATACTGTACAGAGTAACTTCATAGGTGAAGCAAACCAGGAAATATTTTAAATACCCTGTTTCCCCAAAAATAAGACCTAACCTGAAAATAAGCCATAGTAGGATTTTTTCAGGATGCTCCTAATATAAGCTCTATCCCAAAAATAAGCTCTGGAGTTCTTCCTGTCTGACTCTTCGTGACCCCATGGACCAGGGCACACCAGACCCTCCTGTCTTCCACTGCCTCACGGAGTTGGGTCAAATTCATCTTGGTTGCTTTGATGACACTGTCCAATCATCTCATCCTCTGTCATCCTCTGTCATCCCCTTCTCCTCTTCCCTTCACACTTTCCTAACATCAGGGTCTTTTCCAAGGAGTCTTCTCATGAGATGGCCAAAGTATTGGAGCCTCAGCTTCAGGATCTGACCATCCAGGGATCACTCAGGGTTGATGCCCTTCAAAATGGATAGGTTTGTTCTCTTTGCAGTCCACGGGACTCTCAAGAGTCTCCTCCATCACCACACTTCAAAAGCATCAATTATTCAGCGGTCAGCCTTCTTTATGGTATGCAGATATACCAGAGTGATATCATTTTCATATCTGAGGTTCATATTTCTCCTTGCAATTTTAATTCTGGTTTGGAATTCATCTAGTGCAGCATGATGTATTCTGCATACAAGTTAAATAAGCAAGGGAGACAATATACAGCCTTGTCGTACTCCTTTCCCAATTTTGAACCAATCAGTTGTTCCATATCCAGTTCTAACTGTTGCTTCCTGTCCCACATATAGATTTCTCAGGAGATAAATAAGGTGGTCAGGGACTCCTATTTCTTTAAGGACTTGCCATAGTTTGATGTGGTCCACACAGTCAAAGGCTTTTGCATAGTCAATAATGTTTTATTATTGTCTGAACTGATGTTTTTCTAGAACTCTCTGGCTTTCTCCATAATCCAGCACATGTTAGCAATTTGGTCTCTAATTATCTGCCCCTTCGAAATCCAGCTTGTACTTCTGGGAGTTCTTAGTCCACATACTGCTGAAGCCTACCTTGTAGGATTTTGAGCATAACCTTGCTGGCATGTGAAATGAGTTGAATTGTACATTTTTTGAACAGATCCTTGTTTTTCCCCCTTTGTATTATTTTCCTCTATTTCTTTGCTGTGTTCGTTTAAGAAGGCCCTCTTGTGTCTCATTGCTATTCTTTGGAAGTTTGCATTCCATTTTCTGTAACTTTCCCTATCTCCTTTGCATTTTGTTTCCCTTCTCTGCTATTTGTAAGGCCTCGTTGGACAGCCACTTTGCTTTCTTGCATTTCCTTTTCTTTGGGATGGTTTTTGTTGCTGCCTCCTGGACAATGTTACGAGCCTCCGGCCATAGTTCTTCAGGCATTCTGTCCACCAAATCTAGTTCCTTAAATCTGTTCTTCACTTCCACTGTGTATTCATAAAAGATTTGGTTTAGATTATGCCTGACTAGCCTAGTGGTTTTTCCTGCTTTCTTCAGTTTAAGTTCGAGTTTTGCTATAAGAA